AGGACTCATTCTGACCAGTTTCTGGTGACCTTCAAGGATGTGGGAAGAAAGCCCCCTACTTTTGGAGATGCGTCCGTCATTGCTCTCGAATTACTCAATTCTGGATATGAGTTTGATGAGGGCTCTGTCATCTTTAATCGATTCAGGCAAGACTCCAAGTTCTTTTGTTTGTTTTAAAATAACTAAGTATCTGTTTGAGATTTATATTTACTTTTGTTATTTCTAGGTCTGTTATCTCTTATAAAACAGAAGAAAAGCCCATCTTTTCTCTAAATACCATTGCAAATGCTGGTAAGTGTTTTTTATATGACAACAATATTTGGATTGGGAAAGGAGAGGGTTTTTTTTTTTTTTTTTTTTTTTTTTTTGTATTTTTTTAGTACAGGGTCTACAGGGTCTCACAGCCTCCCAAGTGCTGGGATTACAGGCACCACCTCCATGCCCAGTCTCAATTGCTGTTTCAGCACGGTGCCCCAGGGGCGGGGCCAGCATGACAGGCTGAGCATCAAGCCCCAGGGACCCTGTGTGTGCTTAAACAGGCGCTTTAATCTGCTGAGTTATCTATTTGGCCGGCCCTGAGAGATCTTGTACTTTAGGAAAATACAAAATACTGTCAGGATGCCCAGTTACCTTTGGGGGCTGTTTTTAAGGAGCACTGTCTGTTACTGACTTCCACCCCTCATTCCAGTTGCAGGAACCACAGGTTGAACATGTCTACTGAGAGTTGTGCGTCCTGTCTTCCAGGGTTCAGACTGGCTTTCCAGTGTGTGTGTGCGGAAACTAAGTACAGTGCACTCAGAAGCTTTAGCATAGGGATCTGAATAGTGTTCACAGTGGATTTACATTGATCCACTGAAGTCTTATTTTATTGTATGAGTAAAGTCAGTCTTCCCCAGTGAAGCATCCTAAAAGTAATATTTTTCTAAATGTTTTTCCAACTGTATACCATATTTCATCTGTATTTTTTTTACATTTTAACATCTTTAAAATTATGATGCCTCTGTTACCTGTGGAAGACCACAATTTTTTTCTTTTTTTTGTGGTACTGTTTTTTTCGGCCACAATTTTCATTCTTTTTCTTTTCGAAAACAATTTTATTGAATGCTTGTGCCAATACTGCTAGATGTTGTCCAGAGGACGTGATAGCCTTGAAATTTGGTAGCTGCTTTAAATGTCAACTTCTTAATATTTAAGTTAAATCTCTGAAGCAGAACATCAGATTTTTTTTTGTCACATTAGTTTGCTGAATAAGAAGCTATTAAACCGATTATTTCAACATGGCTTCTGCTTTGTAATTATAAGGATTTTTATAGTAGTGAGTTGGTTCTGATGAAATAGTGTTTGGTCCATTGAACTTCAGAGGAATTCATCTCATCGCTTGTTCTAACAGAGAGCATGAGCATCTATGATGACATTGATGCTGATGTGCTGCAGAATTACCAAGAGTACAACCTGGCCAATATCATCTATTACTCCCTGAAGGAATC